AACACATTAACTTGCATTTAGCATAATTTAATTTAGTTTAGTTAATTTATTCATAATTGCACGAGTAGATTATTTTAGTTATAATTTAGTCACAAACAAACACATCACTTTATTATTATTTCGATTAAGGTCCGATATTTAAAATCGAACTAAATCAATACCTGTGCGACGATATTTCGACTCAAATTCACTTTATTACTTATTAACAAATTGTACACTTGTGGTGATTTTAATTCAAAAGGTAAGGCGATGTATATTCCATCAAGTTCGGGAGCCTTAAAAGGTCCCACACTAAATATGGCTGCACAGATTTTGCATCTCATTCGCTTTACTCCCCAAATATTTATGGTTCGGTCACAGCAATAAAGACCATACTAAGGTTCTCTCATAAAGTAATATTTGTAAGTAATTAATGCCAGAGGCCCCCAGCCCAGAGTATTCCATCTTCATATTTTCATTGCACCCAATGGGCTCGCGTTTAGTCCCTACCTGATCATGGTACATATTGGACAAGTTGTATTCATCTATTTTATCGCCTACTATTTGAAGAGATTTGATTGGACGAATTATCTGTTTCAAAGAAAAAAGTTCTAAATATATCTACATAATCAATCCATTACTTCATCGACGCTATCTTATCCTCAAGTTGAACAAATCATGACTAGCTAAATGTTACTGCACAAGTTTTGAAATTATCAAATCAAAAATAAAATATCATTACTTATCGGTAGATTAACTTTTTTTTTATTGCCTTATTGTCCTAGTCTTTAGGTAAGTTAATAAATTGTATTTATTTTATTTAGGTACATGGCTTGTTTTTGACCCCGTCAAATTGAAGTTTGTTTCACATTTACCTAGTCTTTAGCATTTTATCAGGAGTTAGTGGCTGCATATATTGTTGGTTTTCAGCTCTATAAATAAAGCATGTTACTGTGAATCACTTCATTGATTTCTTAGAGCAATAAAGTTTACTTTCCTGTTTCTAAATTATCATGTGGTTCGTAGTAGAGTAGGCGATGCAATCTAGGTGTTGGCGTTTGTGGTGGTGGTGGTGTTGTTAGATCGACAGTTGCGGTGGTTTTTGTTGATACAGGCAGATGTGGTGGTGCTGGAGATGGATTGGGGATTTTATTTATTTTATATATTTATTATTAACTAAATCGATTGTGGGGCGGGGTGGAGTGGGAATGGGGAGTTGCTGTGACCAATTATTTGGTTGATTATAATCATAAATTAGTTAATATGTGATCAAAAAATAATTTGTGACCAATTATTTGATTGATTGACCAATAAATTGGTTGATTTTTAATCAATAGTTAATATTTTGTCCTAAATGTGATTGTGACTTACATTTTACTAAATTGTGATCGAGAAATTCCTTGTGATCGATTCATTTGATAATTTTTTACCATTAAATAAGTTGTAACTTATGAAATTTATGGTTTGTGATTGATGAATAAATTGTGGCTTATAAAATTTTTGATCTGTGATTTAGAATAATTTGTGACCTATAAGTTTTTTAAATTTTGACAAAGAAATAATTTGTCACTTGTAAAATTTTTGATCTGTAACCTAGAAATAATTTATAACCAACTAATTTGATAATTTTTGACGAAATTGTATAGATTTGTGATCTTAATATACTTAATTAGTACAATATTTTTTAATTAATAATTTCATAAATAGAATTTAATTATATTTGATATTTGAAACTTTAAACCTTATTTTATAATTTTGAAATGGCTCATAATTAATTTCTTAGATATGAATTTTTTCCATTTATGTATTTCTTTTTGTCTATTTTCTTATTCGTACGAAGTGAACACATAATGCGTAGAATTTTTATTCTTCTGCAGTTGTACTTTTTATGAACTGGCACCCACCATATCTAAATTCTCAAGAACAATGCCTTTACAAGGAAAATTTTTAAATATTAAAATCCGAAGAAATTTGTAAAAAAAGTTTGAAAAATGCTAGATTTTATTTTCCTAATTCTGGAGCATATTGTCATTTTCCTTAATTTGGAGCATACAATACGAATCTCAAGACTCGACTTTTAACCCCATCACTGCCTCTGCCTCTGGCCGTACTTCCAATTTTAAACCATATTTTTACATTCGGTACCCAAACTTCCGAATTTGTTTCCATCCGCACCTTCAAAAAAACTAAAGGTATATTAATTTTTTATGCAATATATGAATTTCACTAACATCAAGTATTATGTCTTTTAAGTTAGTTATTATGCATTGTATTTTACCAGCTGCAAAAACATACTCCTTCCGTCCCATTTATATAAGATTGTTTTGTTTTTCATACAGATTAAAAAATCTTATTTAATATTATTAATTTGTCTGACGTGAAGTGGAGGGAGAGAAATATCAATCATTAAACTCTTGACCTCAGTTACGAAAACAACAATCTTTAACCAATCGAGACTAGAAGAATTAATACTTAATTTTCATTTTTATATAATTGCATTATAGATAAAATAGTTGGTTAACACCAACTCAATTTTGGGTCCTCTACTCGTTTTCACACGAAATTTGTGTATTTCTTTTAGTCGTGCTTATATATAATTTATTATCTTATTCGTACAAACACCTCAAAAATAAAAGAAATGAACACCTTCACGACAAATTTTTTTTTTCGAAAAATTCGTCTACAATTCTACTTGTTATGATCAGGCCATCCACCATATCTCATTTCTCAAGAACAATGCCTCTAAAAGAAGAAGAAAAGAGAAGGGAAATTTTAAATTATTAAAAAAACTGGAGAAATTTGTTAAAAAAAAAAAAAAAAATTGTTTCAAAAATTCCATTTTCCTTCCTCATCAAAATTCTCTCTGACGCTGACGGCACACAGATCTAGTTCCTGATACTTATAGAAACTTCTCTGGAATTCTTAATACGACTCGCTCTCTCTATGTCACCATGGCTCGAGGATCCTCCCAGTCGCAAGCTTCTTCTGGTCCCACGTCCCGCCCGGGCACCATGACCCCGCGTGGGTCGGCTGCCGTCACTGCCGGCATGCGCCGCCGCAGGCTGGGCGGCGGCTCATCATATTCCACCTCCTCTGGCGTTCGCGGAGGAGCATCCAGCAGCAACATGCTGAGGTTTTACACTGACGATGCACCGGGACTGAAGATCAGCCCCACTGTGGTCCTTGTCATGAGCCTCTGTTACATCGGGTTCGTCACTGCGCTCCACGTCTTCGGAAAGCTGTATCTTCACAATTCTGGACCGAGTTCCTGATTCTCACAGGTCGTTACGTCACTAGCTTGGATCCTGGAAACCGGAGCTGCTTGTTTGGTGAACATTAATAATTCTGTGTGCTACGTTATGTTTTTAGCTCTTGTAGATAAAAGAGGATAAGTGCTTTCGCGTTTCTTTCTGTTTTGATGTTAATATACTTTCGGACATAAATCTTAGTTCAAATACTTTCGTAGTACCAATTAATGGTTCTACTAATTTGAGTACATTGCATTTTGATGTTGTGCATTTGGCATTTTAATCCTTTTAACTAGATGAATTATGTTGAGTTATTGTTGGGTTTTGCTACCCAGTGAATCCTGAATTATAATGTAAACGTCTGATTGAATTTCATACGCATCGGCTTATGTGTGAAATTGTTACCGACAACTAAGTCCAAATGCTCGACTCGAGAACAACGTAGTCGTTGAAAGTAGCTCAAGAAATTAATGCGACTCACGGTCCATATATATTTACTTATTGAATGGTTTGAATCTTGATCCATTTAACCATTTTATTGGTCCAACTAAAGCCTCACGTATCCTATATATATTCTGCTTTTGACCTAGGCGTTTAGTAAGTGATTTGTGTATAAAAAGAGAGAAAAACGTGGCCGTTGAGAGAGAGAATTCAGCAGCCTGTTTTGGTGCAAAAAACATGTGGCTTCTCCTTTGATTTTGGTCACTTCTTTTGCCTTCTTTCGTTGCTACAAATCAACACCGTTATTTTGTCCTTTGTGAATAAGATTGAGAAGCAACCGAGATAAATATATTGGTTGTGAGTTGGAGCCATTTGAATTGACTGTTTAGTAAAGAAAAATTGCATGAAATTGACTCTGAAAATACCGTTTAAAAAGACTTTGGAGCGAGCTCCCGCAACAATTGGTATCAGAGTTTCAAGTTGGTGGATTTAGCTAAAAAGCTACCCAAAAAGGGAAGAGAAAAAGGCAGGATCGGGGCAGAAAACAGATCGAAAAGCTGTCCAGGAAATTGCTCAAAAATTGAGGCTGTTCTTGGTTTCTGGCCAAACCAGAAGGAGTTTGGTGAAATGGAGACCATCGGCATGACGTGTAGGTGTAGGGGCATCAGGGTGTTCAGCTAGTGGAGGTGAGAGTCGCCTGTGGTGCGTAGAGTTCCGGCAGCCGCTCGTGAGGAGGAATCCAGCGAAGCTGCCGCGACAATTATGTATTCGATTATGACCTCCAAACTCTGGGCACTAACTTGAGCCAGCCAGCAGGTTTATGTAAATGGTTACTGTGAATGCATCAATTTTCACTTATGTGTATTGGAGCCTTGATTTTGTGTTAGTCGTGCTTAAATTTGGGGTTTGATGTAAGTTTTGTTCTCTTATATATTGCACATTGATAACATTCCCAAGATTTTATGGTCTGGACATTATCAATTGTCCATAAATGCTTTTCAAAATGCAATGAAAACTGTTTCTGATAAAAATTGCTAGATTTGTTTTCATATATTTAGAGATACTGTTCAATGTTGTAGCTATAGAGCTCAATCAATTTAAGAATGGCTTCTAGTATACTAATGAGTGATTATTTAGTGATGAAAACATTGAAGATTTATGGGCCTCCCAGCACTAATAGGTTACTGATGATAGTTTAGTCGCCATAAGCTTTCATATTGCCGACATATACTGCATATGTGGACTGCAATATCAGATCGTAGTGAATGATATAAGATTTTAGCTTCTTCTTCTTTTATAATATTGTTGAATATTATTTAATCTACCTTGCTAAACATGCCAATAGTGCATCTATATTCTGTAAACTACCGTTCCGTTACAATATCTGGTAATATTTGTTACAGTTCAGAAATTATGCCTTACAGAAGTCTATATCTTCAGTTTATCAAATTGTTGTACAGAATAGGAATCGAGGTTGATACTGGCAGATACATGTTGAATAGTCTTCGCTCTCGTTTGGCCCCCATTTTCTAGAAATCAAAAATGAGTGGAAAAGTATTTTTTTTTAAAAATGAGTGGTTGAAAAAGAAGGAATTTTTTTTGATTTACGTGTAATATTATTTTATGAAAGATTATGTGGTTGAAAATAAGAGAGAAAAATAGAATGTAATGTAATATAATTTAATGAGGGCCAAACGGGGGTTTCAAACAGGTTTTGGCATACTTCTCCTTCCTTCTTGTTGGTAAATTTAATCGGTAATGTATGGAGTGGAATCGGGTTCTCATATATCGTATTTGTGTTTTAGACACCGGATCCACACTTACCGTATTTGGCAATTGCTTATCGTATATGGCAGTGCAACTCACCGTATTTGGTAGTGCAACTCACCGTATTTGACAGTCCAACTCACTGTATTTGTCAGTTTACTGTATATGTTAGTTAGCTCACCGTATATGACAGTGACGTAACAACATAATTTTCACACTTTATGATAACTTAAACAAAATAGATTTTGGACAAACTGTTTGTTTTCATAAAATAATTTAAATAACACAGAACTTGAATTTTCACAAACGTGATTTCATATCCGGGTTCGTATATACAAAATATTATTTGATTAAAACAAATTAAACTACTTGAATAAGAATGGTAAATTATATAATTTGCAGAAATATAAAAGCAGTATAAATTTCAAAAAGCTAAATAAATCTGGAAGGCTTATAATTCTGCAAATAATTAAAGTACAGATATTTAACTGGAAATAAACTTTTAACCTGAGGCCGTGTAAACACAGTTTTTTTAAAACAGATTCGTTCCCTCACCGTAAGTGCTTGAGATCTAGCCTAAGCGTCTGTTTTTCAGGATACAACGGCAGCAAAACCAACAGAATCTGAGCACCACAGAAACTACTTCGATGAATTGAGTTTGTGTTCGAACAATTTCACCACAAAATTAGACTGGACAGAAATCGAGATGCAGACAGGAAGAAAATATGCAGAATGTTTTTCTCCTATTTTCGTGTGGTCTTTTTATATATTGGAACTGCTGGACAATGACAATTTATATAAGTTTAAATCTGCCTTATTAACTCCATAACAATAAATAATGGAGTTGTTTCAGTTTCTGAAAACTCAAAGGTCAGTTAAAGAAAGCTCTGTTCGGTCCGACATTCATGTACGCAGGTTGCGCCTGCACACAAGTTCAAGGTCAGAGAGCAATTTCGGTTCGTGATTTGCACCCCCCTACACGCGCATGTGGAGAGAGCCTCTATGCTATACATAATTACATCATTCCAATGTACAATCCTATATAAAGTGATTAATACTTTCTTCATTTTTCTATGTGGGACTAGACTTATTTTCCCACATAAACCATTTTTTAATGGCCATCTTTGAACTTCAATCTCTCATTCATCAATTCATCAATTTTGACAAATAAATATATGGTTTCGATACTCTCACGGAGGAGAACAAGGATTAACTTTGATCTTCCAAATTGGACCGACGGGTCCCATCGAAAATTTTACCAAAGTGAGTCAATTCACTCATTTTTCCAACACTTCTTACCGGCCTCTTCTACTTGTCTTTATTATTATTATTATTATTTTATTTTATTTATTATTATTTATGACCGTGAGTGTTTGGGTCAATTTACGCGCACCTCGACTAATTTCATGGGATCTTGAAGTTTACAGTCAGGTATTCATCTCAGTGGCCTCGAGGAGACTAGAATTGATGACCATTTGGGAGCAAACCCAATCCTGACCACTGAGCTATTCTTCAGGGTTGTTTTTATTGTGATTATCAATTTTGTTTTTTAATATGACTTGATCAATGTATCGTTGACTTTTTTTCCATTGTCAAACAGTGCATTAAATTTTGTTCTTGTTGATTCCTTTGGTTGTTTTGCTACATTTTCTTTATGAAATTCTCTCATTTTAATGTTTTGTACAAGATGCTTGACGAGCCTCCTATGCCAGAAAAAGTTGCGTGGTTGCATCACTATAGTTTGCTAAGGAAAGGCATGCCACCTCAGCATCTGTCAACATATTTCTAAAATAGATTCTATACAAGTAGCTTAATTAAGTTTGCCAAATGCCGTTTTGATTTTTGGCAACTTTGTACATGGCCTCTTGATCATGGAAATTTACAATTGTTTGTTTTGCTTTGTGCTTTCTAAGTTTATTTCACTTAATTATGCGTATCTTGGTAGTTCTTGTCTTGCATTTGAACATTTCATAGGAGCATATTACCTTTCTTAGCTACTTAGAGATTGTTTTTTATTTTCTTACAACATAGGAAATGATAATGCATATGTACATACTTCCTTCGTATGTATTTTATTTGCTTGCCAAGTTGATAGTTGACACAATACAAACATTTATTTTCGTGGGATTTTGAGTTTAATAAGAATATGTTTCAATAATTTCATAACCAAATTGTTTTGCATGCTCTGAAACGTTGATAAGATAAACATTGATTCCTTCTTTGAAGACTGATGAAACGGTTTAGACAAATATATCTAGACGTGTTATTTGTATCATCTCAATCTTCTCCCAATCACTATTTTTTATTATTCGTTGAGCTGTCTACTAAAAGGCTATTTGAACCACATTCTTTCAAAAAAAAAAATATTATTAAACAGTAATTTGACATTGTTTTAACTACATATTTTTCAATAAAATAATATTCAATTTTATTTTTATTTTTTAATCACACATTTCTCATCAATACCCTATTCAAAAACGTATTCTTATAAAAATAATGTGACTCAAACAATGGCTAAACCGTAGTTTTTAGTGCCTTTCGACAATGTATTATTCTTTTTAGCTATAAGCTATGTGATTGACACAGTACTTTATTAATTTGTCCATTAAGGTGGTTGAAAATGGAATGCAATTTCTCATTTTTACCCTTTTGATAATTTGATTCCAACTTCAGGAAGAAGCTTCACAAGATTCCGATAAACTCGATCAACAAGGCTTAATTTTTGTGGTAGTTAATTCTTGGGATCTCCAAGTTTCAATTTATTAAGTGTCGAAAGTGCTTATGGTGATAATAGGATTGGCTCCACGACTTGGTGTTCAATTTCTTGTAAAAGCCTGATGAACTTCTCAAAGTTTCTTTCACATTGTAGAATAATGTGATCTTAACGGTCAACTTGATCAAATTATGTTGATATCATGCCTGTTTCCTCGAATGTGGGAGATGTCTGGAGTCATTTTTAAAGTTTGGGGTTGTATCCAATCATTTAGAAAAGATTGAGTACCAATTATGCATTTTTCCCATAAATATTCATTCGAAGAACTTCAATCTCTATACTTGTGTTCAGGTTACTCAAATAACTTCGAATATTTAGTACTTGTTTGGTAGAGATTTTGTTAATTGATTTTTTGACTGTTAGAGATAAAGTGAGTTTTATTTGTGAGAGAAAATTCAAAAATGACGATTGTAATAGTGAAATAACAGTAAAAAAATTGATTTTAATGGACTTTTAAGTTGTACCAAACAAACTCTTAGATAATTTAAGAGTCAGTAATAAGTTTTCCTTGAAAATCTTTAAGAGGATGCCATATTTAGTCCTTATTTGATTCCCATTATTTTCAAATAATATTTTTCTATTTTCTTTTTAGTTATACATTCTTCAATAAAAAAATATTGCAAGCAAAGTCAAACTACATATTCTACATTAATTTACTATTGTAAAATACATTTTTGAATAAAATTGGGATTCAAACTGCTCTTAACTAACACAACTCAAATTGTTCATCATGAGCTATAGTTACTAAAATGGGAAATGATAAACGAATCGTAGCATTTCCCTACTAAAATAAGATTGTATTGAACAATTTGACTAGAAATCAATGAGCTTTCAAATCAGAGTTGCACCAATGGACAATTGAGATCTACTGTTTGACCTAGCTTTGAGACTGCCAAACAGGTTTATGCTGGACAATTTGGCAAAGGAGCTAGTCAACAATCGTTGGGAGTCCTGAGGGGGTCACATGACACCCCAACTTTTGAGGGATTTTTTTTTTTTTTTTTTTTTTGGGGATAAAATTCTGCTCGGTATCGATTGAAATCTAAATTTTAATCTAACTCAAAATTAACAATTAATTTTAATAATATATTTCATAAAATCATTAACTTTTTAACTTTTATCAAAATTTATTAAAATTCTTACTTTAATCCCATCAAACAAGGACAAGGGCAAAGTCACAATATATTTGAATGTTTTCTCTTTTCTCTTGCTCATCTTATTATTTTCCCGACGCCTTTTACCAAAACTTTAATTAGTCTAATTTCTTAAAATTTGTCTTAAATTTCTCTAAAAATTATCACATATTCTACAAATTTTCACTTTTCAATCAAATTTTCAATTAATTAGAATCTAAATTTGTATTTTTTTTCCTATCATATTTTGTGTACATAGAATATATTTAAACTGATTATATCCAATTTAACTTATACTTAATGAATTGTGTTTATTTGATTGATCATTAATATTGAATATTGATCATATATTTTTCGTTTCGATTACTTGTATTGATTATTTGTATCAAATGCACAATAAATTTTTTAAACATAAATATGCATTTTTTTGTGATGAACAAAATATTAATAAAATGATTGTCAGAAATCAAATGAATGAATGATGAGCAAAATATTAATGAAAAAATGTTTTTAAATGTAAATCTACATTTTCAATAGTAAAAAATGAATCATTCAAAAATAAAGAATAAAATATTTGATTTACACAAAATTTGATTATGCCCTCAACTCAAAATATTTGCGTCCACCCCTTACTTGAACAAGTTGAAAACCATCCAATTTAAGCATATTTGAATAAAGCCAGAACTAATCATTACAAAGTCCCTATAGAAACATTTTTACTAAATAGTCAATTTAAATCTAGGCTTCTATAGTATGAAACATCATGTTGCATAGCTCTATGCTTTCCTGCACGTTAAGAAATCGGGAGAAAAATATATAACAAAATTTGGGCAAACAAGGATTCTCCATTTGAATAGAGCTGAGCTGAGCATACAGGCCTAGCTCCTTGCAGACCCCTTATAAAAGGGGTGTGGTCTGTTTTTTTTTTTTTTTTTTTTTTTCCCTCGGGGCTCGCATGGGGCCAACCCACGAGAGAAGTCTATAAAACTCCTGTGAAATAAAGTCCTGTGTATGCCCAGCTCCTTACAGACCCCCTTACAGAAGGGGTGTGGTCGATTTTTATTTTTTTATTATTATTTTTATTTTTATTGCCTCGGGGCCCGCATGAGCCAACCCATGAGAGGAGTCTGTAAGACCCCTATAAAATGAAGCCATGTAGACAGGGCTTTATTCATTTGAGTATCATTACTTGCACACAAACTTAGGAAATTGTTCTTTTAAAAATTCAAGAGATTTTAGGATTTGGAGAAAACTTTGTAATCCTTTCTTATCTTTTTAATTGATATAAACCCCAATTATCTAATATAACAAGGATGAGATAGTTACATTGAGAATGGTCGAAAAATTTCCGTTGATAGAGAAGAGGACTGAAAATCCTCGAATAACCATATAGTTTTTTTAGTTAGAATTACAATTTTTATCAATAGTTCATCAATTAAACCAGAAGTTAACCTATTGAATAGGTAACCTGATTATTCAATAGTTGTTTGAGTTAATGACCAAATGTTAATAACTATGCTATTGACTAGTGATCAAGTCACACAAGACCCAAATTTCAACATCTCACTTGCACATATGGATGCAAATCAAAGATTTCTTTTGTTATTTTTCTAGCCATTCCATTCATATTTGACACACAACTCATGTGTTCGTTAGTTAGAGAAAAAGATTTCGCGTTGTAAATTATCAATTGGGTAGCCTTGTCGGATCCCTCCACGTAGGCTAGAAAGCTTCCGTTTTCTCACCATTCCACAAAAGGGACAGAACTGGAGTGGACACAGAGTTCATTATAAGATTTACTAAACATCAGTATCAATCTTTTAAAAAATGATTTGAATATCAATAGTGCTTCTCTAAATTTGTTGATACTTTTTTGAATTATTGGTAATCTTGAATATTGTCATAAATAATTGAGCCAGTGTTGTAGCACGTTTGGCTGTGCAAGGATAAGTTTATTCTACTTCTAAATAAATTCATAATTTAAATAAAATTGTTTTCTTTAATACTTATTATAAACTTAAAACTAATTTCTTTTAATCTTAGCCAAGTGCGTATTCTTCATCGACCCAAAAGCGCATTATCCACTTTCTGGTTCTCTCTCCTGTGATCTGTTAATAATTGCACCATAAATTCCTCAAGAATAGTCTCAGTACATCGCCATACAGAACAATAAAATCAGCCCAGAATTCAGACTCCAAAAGCTGATTGATTCATCCAATTTTACCAACAGTTGTTTTATTCTTCAATTAGATACGCAGAAAATCAATAAAGGATTGGTTTTTTATTTGGAAAGATACGGAGATGGAGGTTCGAAACGATGATGACGCTCCTACATATCATCAAGAGCAGCAGTCATCACCCACTCCATCCAAGCAAGTCAAGGCGTCTCCTAATTCTGTTGATAAAAATTCTGTTACACAGAGGTCCAATTCTTGGTTCTTATCTGCGTTTTTTAATCGAATCTATCGATTGCTTTTTTTGCTTCCTGTTCCGAGAAATTTAATCGAGCTTTATGCCTTTTTAATGTATTTTCAGGTTGCAGAAGGAGCTGATGGCTCTCATGGTATGTGTCAATCAAATTTATATAAAGCTCAATTATCTGCACTTGGTTTTAATTTTATTATGTGCTGCTCACCTTTTTTTGGATAAATTTGTTGATTTAAGTTTGGTTTCAATTGGACGACATATAGAAGTAATGAACAAATAAGTTGATGGATAAAGAGGTAGAAACAAAATGATAAAGCAGAGCTATGATTTAAATCCATTTGAGGACTTGGTTATTTAGCCAATACTCCTATAGAAACGATTTAGATAAATGGGGAGAAAAGCAATGACAAATTTAGATTATTATGTTATAGTTTCAAGCTGAATTTAAATACTTGGTCATGGACCATCTCTTTTGTTTAATTATTTGCCTTGAACTCATTCCCTCTAATCTCACAACACTGTGAACTCGGATGACTATACTTCTCTGTTTGCTTCTAGTGAGAGATTCATTGGGCATTCTATTGTTGATTTTATTATCTGCCCCTCATGTTCGGAACTGTTTTGAGAATGTATTGTTATATAATAAGCTGTAGAATTGGCATGAAGTTTTTTCTTTCATTGAAAATTTTGAAAAGGAGCGTATCTGTATGCTTACAGAACCAACCTTCTAGTTCAGACGGGAAAAAGGTGATGTCCCTGTAGCTTCTAGCACTACTTAAGGGAAGAAAATGACTGGCTTTTGTCATTGCGTTATTTCCAGGAGATTGACTGTTATATCATTCAGCAGATGCATTTTAACAATCTTATCTTAAGCAATAAAAATACTATTATCACTTACAGTTATCGAAATTGCATGAATATGAGGCAGATCTCTGTGATGGTTGAATAATATGGTTATAATTTTCATCTGGTGATCATCTGACATGTAAGAAATTTGTACAGATGACTGGAGGTGATCTTGGAGTATCTGCATTTCCTGAAGGGGAGAGCATATTTACTTGGATTGGCACAATCGAGGGTGGCAAAGGAACTATCTATGAGGGTCTGTCTTACAAATTGTCATTGCACTTTCCCCTTGATTATCCTTTCAAGCCTCCTCAAGTTAAGTTTCAGACAATGTGCTTCCATCCAAATGTAGACCACCATGGGAATATTTGCTTAGACATTCTTCAGGTCAAATTAAGTTTTAAGAATTTTTGTATGTCTGTCCTTTGTGTTCTTGCCGAACTTGAATACATAGATTGGGTTTGATGTGGATTACGTTCTCAATCTGAATATATCTCATAAACATTTTGCGTTATAATTCATTTATAAATTATCTATTCTCATAGAGTTCAGAAGTGGTTGTCTTTTTTGAGTCTGTTTAGGAATCTTTACTATGTTTTCCTTCTTTTGAAGTCAATAACAAAGTTTTCAAATGCTTACAGGATAAATGGTCTTCGGCATATGATTGCAGAACCATTCTTTTATCCATCCAGAGTCTATTAGGAGGTCGGGATAATTGTTACTGTCAATCATTTTGTCCCTGGTGCATTCTTCTTTCGTCTCACCTTTTAGTTGTTGCATGCAGAACCCAATATCGAGAGTCCTCTGAACAATTCCGCTGCTTCACTTTGGAAGAACCAGGAAGGTAGGCTAATTTCTCTTTAATATTTTCTTTCATAATGCAAGGACTAGTACTTCTATAATTCTTGATGCTGCATGTATGAATGTAAGATGTCCAAATCAGTTTTGACATCATATTGACACGAGTTTTGCTCAAATCTTAATATCTAAAATTCTGGTAAGATTCTGTTCTTGTTATTCAACATCGAGTAGTTGCAAATACATCGTTGAGAAGGTTTCTTGTAATCAATGTGAGAAATTTCAATCTGAAACGTTAAAGAATTTTTTTGAATTGCAGAGTACAAAAAAATGGTACGCAAACATTACATGAGTGGAGAAGCATTTGAAAGCTAATCTGCTTGTCCTCATTCCAAAGCTGAAGACCAATATTTCCTGGTGAAAGAACTTCCTTCATGATGGAACAAATTTACTGGGAAAAGTTGAGGTTGGACAGACATCCTTTGTTCTATCATCAAAAAACAGACGTAGATGGAGTTTTTCCAGCTTTTTTAATTTTTCCCTACTTGATTTTCAGTACCAGAAATTGTTTTAACGATTTATTATAATAAGTTCTTGTCAATATAACTGCTGTATAATCCTGGTTGAATCCTAAAATAATCCTCTGGTTTTTTGTTAATGGAAATCTGTCATTTTCTCCCTCATCTTGAGAAGAATTTTTGCACATTGGTATAACAGCTGCTCTAAGTAATGTTTATTGAACTTTGCTATATGTACATCAAAATTTACATAAGAAATTACATAATGTCTATATGGCATTCTATTATTTGTCGATTTAAAATACAATTAACTTTTTTATCAAATCTCTTCCCTCCAAATCATTTTCGATAATCGTTTATGTACCATTTTTATATACAAATAGCAAAATTTATGTTTATTATATATTAGCTATGAACATGCTGGCATGAATGATCTTCTTGCTGTGAACTTGCTGGCATATGTAGAGAATGCTGTGAAATACACACTACTTTACGGTTCATTTCTATTTATTTACAAACAAACTGTTTTTCTTTTTTTCTTTCTTTCTTTTTTTTATTTATGAAAAGTTTACTCTTTATTCAATCACCCCTCGCTTATGGCGGAGAAAACCCTGGTAACAAAATCAACAAAACAAAATAAGCATTAACTAGCTATCAATACACTAGTAAAGTCAAGATTGCCACAACAACCTCTCTACTGTTGCCTAATGTTGGGAAAACCAAGTTTATCTATACGAATAATACCTTTTAACAAGCTAGGATTTTGATCTAGGTGCATGTACCTTTTCGTGAGTCCATCCGCCCCCTAGTCGGGATAGAAAGTCTGTTGCTCTATTTGCTTCTCTATGCTGATGGGAAATAGTAAAGCTGATGTAGCTACGCAATTTTAATTTCTATCATGGCCATGGCTGGAAAATTATGAGGACTAACTTGCTATATTTAAAAATTAAATACTAACATGTTAACTACGTAATACGCTGAGGCCCAATAATGCAATGTTCCTAAACAGGCTATTGACAAAAATTCCATGCTGCCGTTAATACCCAAATGAGGGAAACTGTACTTTTTCCCGCGACCCCCCAAACATAAACAGCTATTAACGGTGAACCCTTCGTCTGAGAGAAGCAAACAATGGCAGAATCAGAAGAAAAAAGCCCTTGTTCTTCTCCCTGTCCACAACGATTCTCTGATTTTCTCTTCCCTTACAGCGAATTTGTCAATCCCCAAAAAAAATAAAAAAAATAACAAGAAGCTTGTGAAAAGGGGCGAAATGATTGTGATTGACATTCTTTTCAGGGTCGATTCCATCTACAAGAAATACGAATAGTATGATATCGAAGAACAACGTTCGCAGAATGCCTCCTCCGATGATACCTTTGCCCGCCTCTACAGCTCATTTGAGTCCCAAATTGTGGCCGTCCTGCATGTAGTTTTTTCCCCATAATCGTGATTTATATTTTTCGTTATTTGGTCCATAATTTGGTCATCAACTTTCTCTTTAACGAACAGAAATCTGAGATGGCAGCTATGGAGATAAACAGGGCGGCTGTGGTGGCGATGAATGCTAAGGTACGGCGAACTAAGGCCAGGCTTATGGACGAAGCCCCGAAGTTGCAGAAACTTGCTCAGAAAAGAGTTAGTGTGTTTTTTTCCTTCTCTTTGCACTTTCTCCTTTTGTGTTTTTAGGTGATTCACTTTATGGATTTTTTTTTTATATGTTTATTGTTGGAAAAAAAGGGGTTGAGTGGCTAACTTTGGTGCAAAATTTGAGTGGGACTCGGTTGGTTATTTTGGAAGTTCAAGATTGATTTGTGTTCTCCTCCGTAAGAATATCGAAATCATGTATTTACTTGTCAAAAATGATGTTTGAGTGAATGAAAAATTGGAGCTCAAAATGTGTCAATTAAAAGGAATTTATTTTGTTGGAAGGAAACCATTTAAGGTCATCTCACATAGGAAAATTATGAAAACAAATATCATCTTAAATAGGATTGCACTTTGGAATGGTGTGATCATGTGTAGCATAGAGGCTCTCTCTTCGTGCATGCGCAGAGGGGCAAATCGAACCAAAATAAGCTTCGGACGTGGAAATTGCCCCCTTAAAAGAACCTATATTTTGCTAATTTTTTCCTCTAACTGACCGTTTGAATTCCAAAACTGTCGAAACTTCAATATTCATTGCCATTATATATGAGTTAATGGCATTCATGGTGTTGAGCCTATATATATTCAACTCGGTTTCTATCTACTATTCCACACAAGAGGAAAAAGAAGAGAAAAACCAATACAGCATACAGTTTTCTGCATAATTTATAGAATATGGTTTCTCCATATTTTAGTTTGCATACAGCATAGTTATACAGTTGGTGATATTGTTCATACACAAATTATGTTTGACGGAATAGTGTTTGAGGTGCTCAAATTCTACAGTTTCTCCATTGTATCTTGGAAGACGTTCAAATTAAATCTCGAGTACCTATGACAAGGGGACGAATCTATTTTAAGAAAATTGTTTTCATACAAGCATCGGTTAAAATTTTTTCTTTCTTTTGCTAATTAGTTTACTTGTTCTGTTTATTGAAATTTAATTTGTTGTATTTTGGCTAAGTAGATTAATTTGTTGAGTTTATTTCAATTTAATTTGCTATATTGGGTAATATCCAAGTTCACTGCAAATACGGTAAGCTGCATATACGGTATGTTATATATACGGTACGCGAAAATATGGTATGTTGCATATACTGTATACGTAAATCCAATTTTTCCATCTGGTACTTGTTAATTCAGTATTCATTCACTAACATTAAGTCCAACTTTTATTGCATTGTGTATATGTTTATTAATTGTGCTTTCAAGCATCGAAGGTCTATGACATCTTCTTGTTATGCTGATAATTAATTAGGATCAATTTGGTTGAAATGGAATAATTAATTGATATATGTCTACGTGATGGAGGAGATGAGTACACTTGGAATTAATGTATGAACTGTTTATGAATTGTTTTCATGCTATTATTTTACTATTCTCCTTTTTGAGTCATGGGAGATCAATTACTTAATTCTAGAATTTGTCAAATTTGTTTCTCTTCTCTGAGGTGAAAATAAATGTAATTGAGCGGGAACGATGAATTCGGAAAGGAATACTTTAATCTTCTATCTCTGCTCCTCCTCCTCCTCCTCTTCTTCTTCTTCTCCTTCTCCTCCTTTTAATTTTCCCCCCATTGAAAGTTACAAGAAATTGCGTACACAAAGATATATTTTCACCTCATGGAAAGCTCTTTTAAGAGCTTTTGAACTCAGCAAGTGTCAGACGTCTCTGGTCAGTCGACAGGTATTGCTGCTTATTTTGTCTCACAAAGTTCAAGTTCTGATGATGATTACTTTGTTAACAGGTCAAAGGGCTCGTGATCGAAGAACTAGAAGTTCGTAAGGAACTGGTTCTTGCACTTCCGGAGAGAATTCAAGCAATACCTGATGGAACCAAAGTGAAACAAACTGGAGGCTGGGGGGCTTCAACATCTCATAAAAATATAACTGGCTGTCTTTCTATTATTGAATTTGTCATAAACTTTACAAATGAAATGTCAGATGGACAGTTTGATGATGATTTCTTTCATAAAAGCAAAAAGTCGAATCAATTCAGGCATGACTATGAAATGCGGAAGATAAAGCAGGTATGTAACTTGCCTGATCCATTTACTTTCTCTTACACAATTTCCTACCCAGGTAAAGTTCAATATTTCCAGTGTTTGAATTTGATTTCCTGCTGGATCAAGGTTAAGACATAATATCAGAAGGTCTGGATACACCTAAGAATTTGGATGCTGATATGAATGAGGTTTGTTGGTTGCATTATGTTTCTTATTTGTTACCGTATGAAGAATTCTGAGCCTGATTTTCTTACATTTTTGCCCTTTTCTACCTGAGTTCAGGAATTGGACAGGCTGGTTCCATTGATTGACGAAATTGATACAAAGGTCTGAAACAAATTTTTCACTATAAAAAACTACTTGCTTAACAGTCCTGAACAGGTTATTTCACCCATTTCCATCGTTCCTTCAGGTGGATAGGGCAACAATGGACCTAAAAATACTAATTTTAGACTAAAAGAAACAATTTTCAAGGTATGTATAAATAATTTTCTTAAAACATAAATTTAAAACTGTATTAACTTCAAATTGACATTCTCGTTGTATTGATTTTTTATTTTGAAGTTATTTTTTACAGATAAGGTCCAGTCGAAACTTCTGCATGGATATCATTCTTCTGTGCAATATCCCAGGAATTGCTTCCTATTTGTACAAGTGAGCTTCTGTCTTTTCATTTGTAAGCATGATTTAAGATTCATGTTACATATCATGTCTCACTGCTTTGGATTTTGTGGTGCTTCATGTACTTACTGCCTTCCATAACAACTGTGATGTTTAATGAATTATATCATTGCATTATCAACATTGCAAATATCAACATGTACTTCGATTTGAAAAGGAAGTGATTATTAGTTTTAGTGTATGTCTTACTCAGCCTTTGCTGTGTGTATGTGCAGCTGCACTACATATTTTTATATGCTTTGCATTTGATAAATGCTTGCTTATGTAAACAAGAGTGAACACTGAACAATTAAATTACAGCTATTCTCACAGACTGAGACTGATGTCTGGGCAAGCTGGAGGTGGCAAGACAATAAAATTTAACTATTCTGCTTAAAAACTAAGATCTTTGCTTGTGAAATTATTAAATTGTTGACCTAGCAGAATCTTTTTTACCAAATTGTTATTCTAATAGCATGCTTCTTCAATCTTATGCAGTATACTGAAATGAATGATTTAGAAGATGTTCGTACATCATTGGTGGATTGTGATCTCCAGTTTTTCTGAGCACCTGTATGTTTGATGCATGAAAGGATCTTTGAAATTATCTTCAATCCTTATCTTGCTTATGTAAACAAGTGTGAACACTAAGCAATTAAATTACAGGGATTCTCACAGACTGAGACTGATGTCTGGGGAAGCTTGGATTTGGCAAGCCAAAATCGTCTAAAATTTACCTACACTGCTTAAAAACTAAAATCTCTGCTTATGAAATTATTAAATCGTTGACCTAACAGAATCTTTTTTACCAAATTTTTTTTCTAATAGCATGCTTCTTCAATCTTATGCAGTATACTGAAATGAATGATTTAGAAGATGTTCGTACCTCATTGGTGGATTGTGACCTGGAGGTTTTCTTGAGCACCTGTATGTTTGATGCATCAATCCTTATCTTTGAAATTATCATAAATTAACTAGACTTGAAGAATGAAGACTACTACTTTTGTTTCAACTAGTTCTCATTGATATAATTTGTTACTGGTATATCGTCATAGTAACGGTCATCTTTTTCCGTGAATGAACAGCCTTCTTTTCTAAATGGAAAGTATTTATTCTAGTTTGTTGAGTTCATTTCTGATCAAGAAGTTTTCAAATTCAAAGGATTTTACAAGCATTATGACAAATATATGTGCCTGAAACAATGATGGTCATCCTATACGTACATCTGTCTAGTCTCCGCTAGGCGCTAAGCCTCTTCTATCCCCCTGCATTCAATGGCTTCGCTTTATAATCACTACTGGAGTAGTAATATCTTAGATTGCAAAGCGATCCACAGGTGCTAATCCATATGTACATTGTTGCAGCTTCATAACCTGCACAATCTAGATTGCTCAACCTGTTTATGTTTTACCTGTAATTATCATTGAGTACGATTAATCCAATTGGTTCAATTGTATATTTCTATACCTTCCATCTCATATATCTTAGATGTTTTAGAGCCAAGACTAAGATTGTGTTTGGTGCACCATATTAGATTTTTGAAAGAATTTAGTGTAAAATTATAATGGAAAGTCGAAAGTGGATTGTATTATGGTGGATTAAGGTGGATAATATTTGATCTTTTAGTCAACATTTAGTTAAAAAAAAGTAAAATTTATATTATTTATTTTATCAGGTCTAAGACCATCTTCACCCTCCGCATTGAGTTTAATGGTTGATAGTGTAAAAAACATACATATATATATACATATATATACATATATATGTATATATATATATGTATGTATGTATGTATGTATGTATGTATTTTACACTATCAACCATTTAACTCAATGCGGAGGGTGAAGATGGTCTTAGACCTGATAAAATAAATAATATAAATTTTACTTTTTTTTTAACTAAAAGATCAAGAATATTACGTGGCTTAACCCACCATAATACCAACCACCTACTAGTATCCATTCTAATTTTAATCTTAATTTTTAGTACGGTCTAACATGGTGCACCAAATGCAGTTTCCTTCTCCCTTTTATTCTTAATGCCGCATAAATATTACTCTATCTAGTGAATTATATGCTTGATCGAGCCGCATTTTTGCTTTAGATGAAGTAAGAGAACCATTTTACTTACGAGTCATGGATCATTTAACTAGCAGGACATATCCAATATGCTTTCGAAAATGGTGGGGACAAATGGATATTTGTTATTTCATTTGTCAAATATCCTAACAAAAACGTTCTACAACTTGTTCTTAATATACGAACTTCTGTTGCTTCTGGTGGACAAAATCCTAAATGAAAATCATGGCTTTTCTCTTTGGCCATTACATGTTTTCTATGACTGAGCTAGTCAAATTCAATAAAAGGACTCAGGCTTCACCAGACACATTTGTTTCATGAAACATTATTTTGACCTACTCTTTTAAGGATTCACGACATTGTAATTTAGTACATTGCAGTATTGGCAGTTGGAAACCGAAGATGAGAGATAAAAACTAAAATAAAAGAAGAAATAACAAATTAAAATACACCTTTTTTTTTCTTTTTTTTTTGTGAGATTCTAAGCATTCGTGAAATTATTCATGTATTAACATTACAACTAAAATATAGCGATAAAAATTTTAGAAAATAGAATGTTTAATTATTTATTAAGTATATACACGTAACACAAAGACTTATAAGCATTAATTACATAATCTGATAGTATTAATAGTTGATGATGCTGTGGGTTTATTGCACGATATGCTTTTTGGCATCTTATTGAAGGTGTAAATATATGATGTTCAAGGATATAGCTTTTTTACTGCAAACTGGTGTCAATAACAATTTCCTTTTGGGGTGAAATTTCTGTCAGTGAAGAAATTTTCGGATACTGTTGGCCTATCAAGATGCTGCAAGTTCATGATGACATTTGACTGATTAGAGCTGATCTTGCCTCCTCCGGACATATGTTGAATGTTTAAGTTTGTATCTTCTGCAGCTACCATGTTTCCTGATAGAAGGTCCTCATCTTTGTGTTCATTATAAATCATTTTTATAAGTAGCTGAAAATTCATACACCGATCTTCCATGTTAGGTTGGCCTGATAGTGAATTGAAGAAACTATGAAACAAGAATTTGTTTCCCAAGTATTTATTGTTCCCATCCTGTGACTGTTAATTGTTTCAATGCCGTTGCTTTGAAAGGTTGCTGTAGGAATAGTTTCACTTGTTGGGTCATGTTCGTTGAATAAGGAAGCTATTAGGTGAGAGCCATTTGATAAAAAGTAATCTGCAATCATGTCTCTGCCATCATCTATATAGACTGAAGGGAGCTTCTCAATCCTAGGAAGGTACTCCAGAAGTTCACTAGGATTCTGTTGGACCTCCTGTTCATTCTTTGACTTGTTGCCTTTCTGTCGAACGCGGCATAATACACAGTCATCCAGCTGCATACAAATGACGATCTTTCCATTATGCATGATTTCTTACTCTTGAATACATATTCGCATAATCTATGATATGTAATCATATGCCTACACATTTCATTATCCAATGTGGATATTGAAAATTATGGACCACATGGCATAGAACAATTTTGGTAGCTGAAGAATTTAGTACTTTAAGCTGTTTGTGTTCAGAGCTAAGATAGGTCTCCAAAAATTTGCTTCATAAAATAAGTAGATTTTGATTGACTAGACCGTTGAAAATTGCATGTATAACCGAATGTCCTACGCATTTCATACTCAATAATCATTGTCATAATGATATGCTTCTGGTGTGACTTTAGGTGCTTGAGTTAAGTTGGAAAACTAATTTGTGCTCACAAAATAGCTTTTATAGATAATCAGTTTCAGTAAATAATGGAGGTTTATATGAAAGAATAGGTAATTGGCAATCAATGTTAAATGTGAATTTGCTTACCCTCATGGACCCTTTAGACCTTAACGGTCTATATGTCGTGCCAGGCAGTCTGTACTCGGTCATGATCCAATCTGTCTTGACCCCTTTTGGTGGTTTACCTTTATAGAAGACAATGCCTTTTTTAACCCCTATCCTGCCTGATCCGGAAGAACCGACAATTGACTTATCAGTGCCAGTGGCCTTCCAGTAACCTGAAGCCGCTGTTCTATTGGGTCTTCCCTCATTTGGGTACTTCCTATCCCTTGGGGTGAAAAAGTACCATTCATCTTCTCCAAACACAGCCTTCCCTGTATGTTTCAAAAACCAAAAATAAAAAGAATTATAATATCCTGAAAATTGAATACTCTATCTGATCTTTTAAAAAAAAATAAAAATGAAATAGGTAGAGAACAAACTGGTTAGCTCCCAAGGGTTATACTTATAAAGCTCTATATCAGCCATCAGGTTTGCTGGAAGTGGAAGAGACTTTACTTTCTTCTGCAAGTAATAAATAATCAGTTCTTCCTCAGATGGATGAAATCTGATTCCTGGAGGAAAATGGGAATCGGAGATGGACTTTTCTTCCATGGAAATCTTCCTTCTTTCTTTCTTTATTTTTTGTCTCCTGATGGCACTCTGACCAATAGTATATCTTGCAAGCACAGTGCTACAGTAAATAAGGTGCGAGTTTATGGCTTCATGCAGATGCTGACATTTTCAAAATATTGAACATACAGAGATAAGATAACATACGTTATGTTTAAAGAAATAGATCGGGGAAAGCAATGTTTTGCTTTATGTGTTGGAATGGGATGTCGTGAATTTCCCCCGTCTCTCCCTTAGAAAAGAAGCTTTCAAATTTTTTAATGCTTGATATTATTTTATGTGTATATATATTCTTGTCGCTACTCTTCAATTTATCATGCTGTTGTGGTGTTTGCATTGATACACATAATTCGCATCGATTTTGTATTAAGTTTGTAGTTACCTGTTATTTTGAAAATGTGCAGTTTGGGAAATTAAAGTTAAAGGTGAAAGAGAAGTTGTAAAACATTTCAATCTCTAATATATTGAGAACTTCAACTAATGAAAATCCTTCTCAGATGAGTCATAAAATGGTAATTTCTGGATTATTCCCAAAATATATCTTTGTTGAATCCTAATCTCGTAGCTTGTATAGGCATCTTTGGGGCAAAAGAAATGAATAAAATGCTCATTTATGCTGTGTCTAATTCACTTCTATTAACCAGATTGTTTATCTGATCCTGCATGCTCACATTATTCTCTGAGCCAAGGTTCGAGGAGAGTTATACATGTCGTTTTGTGTATTAACGTGATCGAACAAGCATAACAGCCGCACAAGTTGCAGGCCCAAATTACTTTTATTATATTGCATGTAGTTTTTGGCTTTTTGTTCGAACTTTTAATTTGTTTACATCCCTGTTCTTAGGCTCATGTGCATATTATGAAAACATTACATGTACATTATATAGTTCTATGTATGTGAATTCTTGTTCTTGTACGGTTGTGATAAATTTGCATGTCAAAGTTGTGAATGTTCTATCTAGTGCCTTCTAAGCTGTACAATTGATATTTTTCATGTCTGATGCTGTCTCTTAGCAGAAGACTGCAGATTTAGATTTAGTGTTAGAGAAATGACTTAAACCTTGTTAAAATCGAACTAAATGCCATTTTGTTCGACAAAAATGATAACGAATTCTAGGGAAGACGTGATTTATTGTGTTATTTAATTGCTCAACTAGTTGCTAATGATAGCTTAACAAGACTCAAGTCTCTGAAGAATAATTAACATAGTTACTATAAGTGAATCTTTAAACCATATGCTGATATGAACCTAAGGATATATAATTTAGAAATATCATGGAGACAAAATTCGAAAATAGAATTTGCTGTACCAGTTTTATGTGGGACCGTAGCGGGGTATGTCAGCATTATATGATAAAGGAATTTTAGAGAATAACAAGATGTGACAAGATTAATTATGAATTCTGTATCATAATTGAGTATAGAAATTGTGACTTTTAAATAGAAATAATAGAGCATGGCATAGGGAATGTACTGATTTTTTTGGATTTGTGTTTTTACGTCGGTCAATCACCATAAAATGATCGAGGAACCGACAAGAGTGAAGAGAAAAGTTGAAGCAAAATTAATTAACTCTATCACAATGAGGAATCGACGTCGAGTAGCTTTATACTTTTCCTTCAAGTTACCAGTAATCCACGGGCTTATCCATTGAGTTGGAGAAATTCATGGCTCACATCAATCACATTGCACGTCGCTCATATTTTAAGACTACAATTGGTATGACATTAGGCTTTGAACTCTAATTGCCTCGGACTTTTGAGGCCCATCCAATGTGGCTTAGAGTTCCTGCGGATCACCTTGGATAGAATGTATGACAAGTCTACATGGAGTGAAACCACTTTGAAAAAGGTAGTTGTCGACGAGCATTGGACTCTGCTCTCAACTCCTTGGAATTGAAGTCAATTGAGGCGGTGGTAGCTGGTCTCATTGCCTTCTTGGCATTTGTGTGATATTTTGCTTAGGTGTCAACAGCATCATGGGCGGATCCAGGGACAGGCTGGACCGTGCTACAGCCCGTCCCTTCGGCCCAAATGTTCATTAAAAAAAAAAATTTTAAGTAAAATATTTTTTTATGTGCAATTTATATTTTTTTTTATACGTATTAGTCTGTCTTGAATTTTTTCCTGAATCCACCACTAGCAGCATTGCTTGCCACATATAATAGAGACATAACATTTTGTACAAAAGTCTTTAATGTTAGGAAATTGTCCATCACTCACGACAACAATTTCCCTTGGCACCTCAATTGAAAAATCCAGCGAATCTTTTCTTCACACGATGCTCAATGAGTTATCACCAATTTTTTAATTTTCTGGCCAAATCTCTTTACTTTTACTGTCATTGATGCGATAATAATTGACACATATCTAAGAAAATTATGGTCATAATTAATAAATCCGAAATATACCTGAATTTCCCAATTCCTTGGACCTCTCCTCATGCTTGACATGATTTTCACTATTTCAAGAACATTAACCTGTCTTTATCAGAAATAGGATTGCACTCAAAGTCCAAACTGATACAGCATAATAATAAGGAATGATGATTGACACTCCAATAATTAGAGATGACAATTGGGCTCGTTAATTCGGGTTGTTCGTGGTTCAGCCTGAAAAAGGCTCGAGTCGAGCCCCATTTGGGGTGCTAGCCCGAGCCGACAAGTGTGGCTCGTCGCATTGGCTTGTTAAAAAAAATAATAATAAAAAAATTGTAAAGAGGCAGCTACACAAAAAAAGGCAGCACACTTGGTATGTATTATTAAAAAAAAAAAAAATAAAAAAAAAAAGATGGCTCAGCAAGCTCCACCCGAAAGCTCAGGTTGAGCCTCGATTTCGGTTAGGCTCGGGTGAAAAAAAGCCCGACTTAATTTTACTCGATTCGAGGTCGAGTCTCGAGTTTCAACTCGCAAATCGACTGGGCTAAGCTTGTTGACATCCCTACCAATAAGGCAATAATACACCAACCTTGTTTCGTATATAAATTAATGTTGTTTGTGTGCATATCGAATAGCTCTGAATCGTGTTATTTATTAAGATCCGTTTACCTTATACATTTTGAATTTACCAAATGAATGAATGTCAACATTTAATCAATTAAGGTTAAAAATTTATTCTATAATAAAGGATATGATTTTGTACTGGGAGAAAGGAGTTATCATATTTCCTTCCATTCGCCGCAAATCTTTTGGCATATCAAAATTTCAGATTTTGTAAATGTTCTTTTTCCTATGATGAAAACTGTAATTACTGTTCTTAATACTTAAAATACAAATTAGAAATAATAAACTTTAAACCACGTTAAATTTAAGGATAAATTTGAAAATTTCTAACATGAGTAAGAATATTATGGTCTAGAAATACTTTTTCAATGTATTCACTTTTATATATGTTATATCACTCAATAGATTATTAAATTTTGCCAAGTTGAGGTTAAGTCGTATCTCACCCAATTTTTACCAAACTTATTTTCAATCACATTTTTTCAATAAAATATTATTTTAACTTTCTGTCATTCTTTTTGGTAGTAGGAAATCTAATTTAGAACCCCGTTGGATTCTCATTCTTTGGTCATATCTATTACATCAAGTTACCATATTTGACTTTCTATTTCTTGTGTGGATCCCGCAACAGTTATATTTTTTATTCTCATTTTTACAAAAATGAATACCAAACGGGACCTTCGTGTAGCTTGATTCAATTTGTTAGGAACAACGTCCAACAGAATTTTTTTCAATCGACGAGAATCACATAGCAACCTTGAAATTAAAAACAATTTTATAAGAATAGATGCATAATGACTTTCCCTAGAGAAGTAGGGTCTAGAAAATTGGGAGAGAATCTTTTAATTAAGTGGATTTGTGGGTGTGTCAACATTCTTGAGGAACCGAGGTGACTAAAACAAAGAATCTATGTCGTTCAAATGGAATTATCCGAATGCTTACATCCAAAAGTGGTTGACAAAAATATGCTTCAATTTATTTAGTATTTTAAGTCGGGTTTAGGTATGATAATTTACACTTTTTATTGCATGTCTCTTTCTTGTATACTTATTAAAAGTTGATGATCTATTTTAAAAAGTCAATGTTGTTAAGAATATGGCATTAGCTTGAACCCCTTATATGTTATTTATTTATTTATTTCATCTTTAATCGATGTTGACTCGTTTGAGATCATCAATCTTGGAATTTGATTGCTTATTTAAGCTTTTTAAATAGGCCAATTTTCTCGTTTGAGCTTAATCGACCTTAATACCATATTTAGAGTTGGAATTTCATCTTAAAAGTACCAATCATCTCAAGAAAAGTAGTCTAGTAAAGCTCTTGTACGCTTATTATTGTTTTATATTTAATCATTGTTGGATATGTCAATTTACAATATCAAATATGATTTTAACGTGAGATATGAATTATGGATTACAAGTCTAGAGCATGGATGGTTTGGAAGCCAAGAGAGTCAAATTGAATTCTATGTAGCAAGGATCATATGGTTACGAGTCGAATTGAATTGTAGCTAGACAGCAAGGAGATATTATGACTTGTCACATGTTATTTTCAAGAAGAATAGTTGCAAGAAAAGCATCTCAAACTTTTGAATAAGCATGGTAGAGGTGTCATTTACGTGTAAATCGAGATGTTGTGATTCATTGCTTGATATTTTATAAGAAAGTTGTAACTTAACAACTCAATCTATCTTTCTTTTCTGAACTATAAGTCAATGAAATAAAAACATGGGATTTAGTAAAAATGACAGAATTCATGAGCATCACAAAAAGACGGACCCATTAGATATTTTTCAAAAGATTTTTTTATCTCATAATTGATCTATAGCACTTCTTGGGTTCAAGCGGTTACATTTCTAAATTGATGGAAATTAATATCAGATTTTTCGTATATTTTGATAAATTTCATAAATGTGTTATTGAAATTAATTGTTAATTTCAACTTAAATTAAAACCTTAATTTTTATCCCCGCCAAATAAGGGCTATAAGTAATCGAAAGGTCAAATTCACTTATATATACATGGAATTGTAGGTGAAGATCCTTTGTTGGGAATCACCGGCGCTCCCCTAATACTGCCAAGAAATTGATGCAAATATAGGCTAAGACAGTGCAAAAAAGACTTGCTTTTCTTAACTTAAAAAGAGAATACAACAAAAAATCTAGCTACAACATTATTGCTCATACTTTTTCTCCTTGTGGCTGAAATTAATAGGTAAATTTTTCACTTTCATTCAAAATTCCACGAGCAAAAATATACTGCATAATAATCACAGGCTTAACAGTGAAGTGGTCCATCAAACCCTAGTGAAAAAAAGAAGGCAACTTTCTATATGCAGTGATACGAATGCCTAGCTTGTGATTGCCAAGTAAATTTTTGTCATCTCTCGTTCAAACCTGCAGTGGACCCCACCCCACCCACCCCCTTCTGACAGTTCACAAGATCTCTTCCCCTTATCGATCTTCCAGGTGCAGTCCCGCATATGGAGGCTTCGCCTTCTGAATTTACCTCATCTTCTCTGTAAAATTTGTTTAGTTATCATTTTTGGAGAGCTCAGTGATTTTTGCTGTAATGGCTTGAGTCCATTGCAGAACCCATTAAAGCGAACTTTGATAACTCATTCTGTTGCAAGAATTGTCGATGTTCACTGCCTTCTACTCCCAGAAAATCTCTAGTGAGACTGTTTGTAGCTTCAGTTCCAGTTGATTGGTTTTGATTCCCAGTAATATTTGGCATCATCATTGCAGGGTCTGAATTTCTTGAACTGCCCATTATTGGGGTAGTGGGTATGTCACCACGGAAAAATCCACCTCCACGATTAGTAGACATTGTTGAAGCACACGAGGAAGCCATTAATCCATTCAAATTCTCAGCTTTTTCAAGATTCTGAACTTCATTTCTGCTTTGGTTAAAAGAATTGAAGTTGCCAAGACTAGAAAAAGATGAGCTCATTAGTCCAAAACCAGTACCAAAAATGGCAGAACTGCTTCTAGTTGACCCCATTTGGGCTGCTTTCTGCAATAGTGCAGTAGCAGACATAGGAGCTGGTAGATTTGTTTCTGGCTGATTATGGGTATTGTTGTAATACAATGAACTTATGTTTTCAGTCAAATTTCCTTTGTTTTCTTCTTCCTCTTTCAGTACCCTATTCAATGCAGAAGATGAAGAATTCCCACCTGTAAATGGTACCTCTTGGCCCCTACCGAACCACTGATTCTGTGAAGCCATTTGCACCAATTCAGGCAAGCTTGTTGAACTTGAACCCAAGAAAGCATTAGAACCAGTTGGATTTCCAACGGAATTCAGATGAGAATTGGCATTTTCTAGCCAAACTGGCAGCCTCGGTTTTTGCAAATCCAGATTCAGCTGGTTTCCATGTTCTAATCCAGTAAGTTCTGGCCTAAACACGCCAGAAAACTGCGAGCTACCAGCACTTTGAATATTACTAAGCAATTCGTTTCTGAAACTCACATTTGCAGAAGGAACTGAAGTAAATCTTGCACTTTCTTCTGCTAATGCATCACAAAAGGCTCTGTGTGTGATAAAGCTATCCTTTCTGTTGAATATATACAAACCAAACTCAGTTTAATTTGCCAGTCATTTATGAATTGCATTAAATTCACATGAATCTCGAGCATTTATGTCCCGACAAACTTAGCTTAGTATACTATATATGATTTTGCAGTAAATAGAACTTTATATATATGGTGAAGAAGTTCAATTGAAGTACCTGGAGAAAAGGGTTCCACAGTCACATTTATATTCTCTCGTCCCACAAATCTTACTATGAGCTTTCCAATCAGACTGAACTGCGTATTTTTTGGAGCATTTTTCACACTTCCATTTTTTTTCTCCATGCTTTCTGCTGTAATGTTTCTTGATTCCTGTAAGATCTCCAAGTGCCCTTGAAGGGTCATGATGGACACAGGTTTTTTCAGGGCATATGTAAACCTTCTTTCTGATTACTTCTTTGTTGTTTCTTTGTTTAAGCTTCCATGGCAGATTATGACCTCTTCTGTGTAACTGCAAATTCTGGTCCCTTTGGAAACCCTTGTTGCAAATTTCACATATGAATCTGTTTGTTGCCATCAGAGACTTTGGGGACAGTGCTATAACTTCTGCATCTGGATCTACATGTAAATTCACCAAATCTTAATTAACTTCAACAACAAAAAATTTCACAAAAATGAAACAGAAAACTGTGATATAATTACTATTCTTGCCTGGGGTTCCCGGAAGATTTCTTTTCCGTTTGGCCTGGTTTGAATTAGAACTGTTAGGATTGGGGTTTAGAGTAGGATCTTGAATGAACCCTCCAATGGAAGAAGAAATCCCATCATCAGACATCATTTTGCGAGACTACAGAAACCTGAACAAATCTGAGCAAAATTTAAGAGCTGATACTGTTGGTATATGTACAACAAGAAGATAGAAACAATAATTTGATGAAAGTAGTTAAATCCTTCAAAAAAAATTCTTGTAACTTCGCTGGAAACAAAATGAAAACCGAGCACCTAACTTGATTACATCAGAAGAGTGAAGTCTTGCTTTCTTGCATGTTTGAATCTTAGGAGAAAATACCCATCTAATGTGAAACCTAGCTCAAGAGAGAATATTTCTTTTCTCTCTCGCTCTCTCCTTATCCTCTCTAAAGTCGGTCAGCCATAGACTTTAGTTGGGCCCCTCTCTCTTTCTAACATTTTCATATCTTATCACTGCTACCATAATTAACCAATTTTTTTTTTTTTGAAATGACCTCATAACATTTGAGTCGAAAAAGATATAGGGTGAAATTTTAAATGATTAGATCGGAAATGAATTACAGATTGAAAAAAAAAAAAAAAAAAGAGGCAATAAATTCATTACAAATAGATATGAAAGCAGCGTTACAAAAAAGGGCAAAAAAAAAATTGCTTTTAAAAATTTGACGTAAAAAAAAGAAGAAGTTATATTCCTTTGTTTCTTCGGAGAATCACTACTAAAAAACAGCTTTACATCTATGGAAAATTATCAACGGATCACCTACGGAAAATTACCAACGGTTGGTAATTAGAAACGGATTATTCGTTGGTCAAAGTAATTCACTTTCAACTACGATAATCAACAACAAATTTTTAATTGGTAACCATGATATCTCTTTACCAATGGACATTCTGTGCCTCATGTAACCATTTAACATTTGGATCTTTTACCTAATGATATTTCGTAGGTGACATACTAAATATTACCCGTTGGTAAAAGTAATTCACTTATCTTATATCGAAAGTTTACAACAAAATCTTTGGAGTTGTCCTCTATAAATTTGTGGCCCAATAAGTGGCTAAACAATATTTTAGCCTTTTAATTCAGTTGGCTAGAAGTTTTATTTTTTTAAAAAAAAGCATAATTATTAAATAAATTATAATAACAATAAATAAATAAATATTGATTTTTACCTATATAATAGTAGACATTTACCAACAGGAAGTCGGTTGATATTGGTTAAGATTTTTACTAACAGAAATTTCGTTGCTAAAAGATTCACACTTTACTAATGAAAATCTCGTTGGTAAAAGGTTTACTCTTACCTATGGCGCCATCCGTTGGTGACTATCAGCGAACCCCTAAATTAACAACGGATTTGTGGTTGTTAATATTCCGTTGGTAAAGAATAATAGCAATGGATATCGTGGTTTCAAAAACAGAAAATCCATGCTTGAAGCCTTTTTTTTTTTTTTGTAGTTAATGGATATTGAGAGAATTATGAGCCAAAAAGTTTTCGTTATTAGATGTAAAAAATTTGTAGTGCAGCTTTCATCCGTCTATAATATATAATTTTTAGGTTATCAAACCGTGATATTTTCATAACAGTGTGACTAAATTTAACTCTATTATTAGCGTGTACACTTGCTAACTAACAATTAAAATGGAATTCACAATAAAATAATTTTATGTAGTACAACTAATATTTAATACCGATTTAGAATCATTATTACATTGTCCAATAAAAATATGATGCATTTTTATTCATTTGACTATGATAGTGGTTGTAGTGTCACTTAAACTAGTATTAAGTATCACTTGTATGAGAATCATTCGCAAAGAAAAAAATTGAAAGTTCGTATAATTTCAATCAAATGCGTAGGTGATACAATGCTTATAAAATTTATTATTGTGACTCTCCCACATTTTCTCGTGAAACTACAAATTATGTGTTTATTTGACATTCTTAATTTATTTTATGGTTTATTACATGGTTATTTTCTATCATAATCACACAATAAAATATTAAACACATATACCATAAATTTTTCCTATTTTTTAACCACACATTCTTCTAAGAATTAATATTCAACACTCATTTTTCTACCAAAATGGTTGTCATATCAGTAAATTTTTTATACTTCATTACAATTTTAAAGTGTTAAAATTTTAATATCCGTTTGAAGAAATATAATAAATAATCAAACTTATTTATTAATAATTTTAGCCAAGCGAGTTTTTAAATTTTTTTTTTTTGCCTTATTTCTCATAGGCTATTTTAGTACTTGTTTGGTATGGATTTTGTTAATTAATTTTTTGACCATTAGAGATAAAGTGTGTCCTATCTGTGAGAAATAAATTCAAAAATAACGACTAAAATAGTAAAATAACGATTAAAAAATTAGTGTTAATTGAATTAAAATTTCTGTCAAACATGCTCTTAACTTCTCAGTAGTTCCGAAAAGCCGAAAAGCCGATTTTCCGGCAACTAGCAGCAAATGAGCTCAAGAATCGAGAGGACAATAAAATGTGAAAGTAAAAGGCAGAATCAACTTAGGTCACAAAAAGTTGTGAAATAAAAGTGACTTGTCTTTACAGCAATAGATCCGGTGAGAATGATTATACCATTATTATTTTAGGACCGTGATGAGAGAGAAATAAGAGAGAGAAAGAGAGTAGTGAATATTTGAATATCTATAAGATGCCGTCTCGTGAAGGGTTGAAGGGAGGTTAGATTCAGTGGGAGGTTAGGTGAGTGTTGTGTGGGCCCAATATACTGTCATATTTATATTTTTTGGAAAAAAAATAAAAAGGAATATATGTCATATTCATGTTCATGCATCGAAAGGGTTGTTAGGGTCGATGCCATGTATATTTAAAGATGTAAAAATTATTTATGAAACACTCTTACATAAAATACTTGGTCCATAATTTAAATAGGAATGTGATGTTTGTTCAGACT